GATAGATAGATAGATAGATAGATAGATAGATAGATAGATAGATAGATAGATAGATAGATACATGATAGATAGATAGATAGATAGATAGATAGATAGATAGATAGATAGATGATTGATTGATAGATAGATACATGATAGATGATAGATAGATAGATGATAGATCATTGATTGATAGATAGATACATGATAGATAGATAGGTATAGATAGATAGATAGATAGATAGATAGATAGATAGATAGATAGATAGGTAGATAGATAGATGATAGATAGATAGATAGATAGATAGATAGATAGATAGATAGATAGATAGATAGATGATTGACAGACAGACAGACAGAGATGGAGATAGATAGATCAGGGCTCTTCAAACTTGACAACTCCTCCAGTCATGGTAGCTCAGAGATTCTTGGAGTTGAAGTCCACAAGTCTTAAACTTGCCAAGATTGAAGAGTCTTGCTTTAGAGAGTCCGAGACCTCGTTTTGAAATGAGAATGAGAAGAGCAAGCATTATTAAAGTATTATAGCCATATTTACATGGCAACCATCACCTTGCAAATGCCGGAAGTATTGGCCCACAGCATTAGCGTGTTGTTGTGGATATGTTGCGTGTTGCAATAATGTGTGTCCTTTGACATGCTATGGTGCTGTGTCCACTTGGTGTGCGAAAAGATCCTCCCACAAATCGCCTTTTTTTTCCCCCGTTCAAACCCTAAACATTGATCACAATTTTGGGAGGGGCTTCCCGCCTTGCACACGAGGATCGCAATGTGTGCGTGCCTAAACCAACTTAGAAAAATGGGGAAATGTGTGTTGCGGCATTACCCCTCAAAAGCCAGCCTTTGTACATTGTGTTGCAAGGTGTGTTTTGCCACCTGCTTCCTCTCCAAGGGACAAAATGTGCATTGTTATAATCAAGGATATAATTTTTTGAGTCTTCTTGCTTCTTGCTGTCCTTTGCAGCAAGTCAGCTTCATGCAGGTCAGGGCCAGTATGTCACCTCTAATGAATCCTTTAAAGCTTTTTGAAGTTTGGCTCGAGAATCATGATTTCATTCGGGCGATTGCTGGAATCCTGACAGTGGTCACAGGACTAACCCTTTGTAACGTTTCTTGCCCCAAATGGGCAATTATTTCCAGCTGCTGGCAAAATATGCCCATTGGCTAAAACGGGTTCATTTAATGACCATGGTGTTAGCTTAGTGATCACTACATTCTCTTAGCGACCTGCCACAAAAGAAGTTTTTTTTAAAAATGGGCACGTTGTGACTCACTTAACGTACGTACGTTATGAAACATGGTTGTAAGTTCGAGGGCTAACTGCAAAGGGGCTGCCTACAAGTGAATATGTAATCCATAAAGGGGGCGATTGGAGTATTAAATGCTGGGTTAAACAAAAGCAGAGAAGCCATCTTAAGCGTTTCCTACACCGGGGTGGGGTAGTGGGGAACAACCTTTCCGGCTACACACCTGGATACGGAGTCTGCCCATAGGTGATGATCTCCATCAGCAAGATCCCAAAGGACCACACATCGGACTTTATGGTGAAGGACCCATAATTGATCGCTTCGGGAGCGGTCCACTTGATGGGGAACTTGGCGCCTGCCAAAAAAGTCCAAACCAACATAGTTAGATTTAGCCTGAAAACGGAAGCTGGCAAAGATGGAGACAGAGAGTTCTAGTCCTGTCTTAGGCACAAAAGCTGACTGGGTGACATAGGGCGAATCACCAGGAGACTGGGAGTTCTAGTCCCACCTTAGGCATGAAGTCTGGCTGGGTGACTTTCGGCCAATCACCAAGAGACGGTGAGTTCTAATCCTGTTTTAAGCACGAAATACAGCTGGGTGTCTTTGGCCCAATCACCAAGAGTCAGTAAGTTCTAGTTGTGCGTTAGATAGAAAGCCAGCTGGGTGACTTTGGGCCACTTTTTCTCAGACCAGGCCACTTCACAGGGTTGTAGTGGGGAAAAATAGGGAGAGGGAGATGTGCCGGATATGTTCCCTGATTCTCCTGATCCTGCGTGGCATTTTTCTCCTCGACCCATTGAGGGGGTGAGGGATGGAGAAAGGAAGATGAATCATCAAATCTTAAAAAATAAAATGCCTGCATGAAAAAGTGATTTTCCTTTACTTGTAAAAATCTTCACTTTCTCCATATTTAGCTGGGCAGAATATCCAAAGAACAGAGCTGGAAGGCACCTTGGAGGTCTTCTAGTCCAACCCCCTGCTAGACAAATGGCTGTCCAGTCTCTTCTTAAAATCCTCCAGGCAGGGTGAAGGACAAAACTTTGATAGCATCTGGTGGCTGCCATCTTGGTTTTTTTTTTACCACCTCCTGCATATCCCACCTCCCACAGACCCAAATGCTGGACACTCAGTCCCACCCTCCAGAGGCCCCAAGACCATCTCCCGCCTCTCTGATTGGGGAGGGTTGATTAGATTAGATTAACAGAGTTGGAAGGGAGCTTGGTGGTCATCTAGTCCAACTCTCCCCCACCCAAGCAGGAGACCCTACATCATTTCTGACAGGTGGGAGTCCAGTCTCTTCTTGAAAGCCTCCAGGGATGAAGCTTCCACAACTTCTGAAGGAAACTTCTGTTCTATCGGTTGATTGTTCTGTCAGAAAGTTTCTCCTTATTTCCAGGTTGAATCTCTCCTTGTTCAGTTTCCATCCATTATTCTTTGTCTGGCCTTCAGGGGCCTTGGAAAATAGCTTGACCCCTTCCTCCTCCTCTCTGTGGCAGCCCCTCAAATATTGGAAGACCACTATCATGTCTCCCCTAGTCCTTCTCTTCACTAGACTAACCAGGCCCAGTTCCTGCAACCATCCAACATATGTTTTAGTCTCCAAACCTTCTTTGATCATCTTAGATAGATTCAGATTAACAGAGTTGGAAGGGACCTTGTAGGTCATCTAGTCCAACCCCCCGCCCAAGCGGGAGACCCTACACCATTTCTGACAGATGGCAGTCCAGTCTCTTCTTGAAAGCTTCTAGTGATGAAGTTCCCACAATTTCTGAAGGCAACTTCTGTTCCACTGATTGATTGTTCTCCCTGTCAGAAAGTTTCTCCTTATTTCCAGGTTGAATCTCTCCTTGTTCAGTTTCCATCCATTATTCCTTGTCTGGCATTCAGGGGCCTTGGAAAATAGCTTGACCCCTTCCTCCTCTCTGGGGCAGCCCCTCAAATACTGGAAGATGCTCTCCTGTCTCCCCTGGTCCTTCTCTTCCCTAGACTAGCCAGGCCCAGGTCCTGCAATCGTTCTTCATATGTTTTAGCCTCCAATCCCCTCATCATCCTGGTTGCTCTTCTCTGCACTTTTTCTAGAGCCTCAACATCTTTTTTCTAGTGCGGTGACCAAAACTGGATATGGTACTCTCAGCGTGGCCTTACTAAGGCATAAATTGGTGTTAAAGTGTAATTAATCCACATTCTCCATAAAAATAGGCATGCCAGGGTTGTGTTGGCTTTGTACCTTCCCGTGCAGTGTATTCATTGTCGTCTATCACTCGGGCCAGGCCAAAGTCCGCAATCTTGCACACCAGGAGGGCTGACACCAAAATGTTCGCAGCTCTGAGGTCACGATGGATGTAGTTCCGTTTCTCGATGAAAGCCATGCCTTCGGACACCTGCAACCACGAGAGACACCTCCATTAAAGGGGGCGGGGGAAGGAACACCCAAAAACCCACCTTCATTAGGACTGATTTTACAATAGTCCTTTGCAGGCAGTCCTTGACTTAGGAGGATTCATTTAGTGACTGAAGTTGCAACGACACTGAAAAAAAAAGCCACAGGTGGCCGTTGCATTCTCCCCGTTGGTGATGTGATCAAAATTCAGTATGAAGAAAATGGGTATAAAATGTTTTATAGATAACCAGTCAGGTTAGCTAAAGTGTTTAAAAAACATGTTGGAAATGTAATGAAAGAAACGGGCACATCCTGTCATATATGGTGGACGTGTGGCAAAGCATCCTCCACAGTCATCTACGCTTACATCCTCTATTACCTATGCATATGTGTGATTGTATAATTTTTCTCCTCCTTGGCTAAAATATATCAATATGATTCTTTTTTTTTGACTTTAGGAGTCCGTTTCCCCCACCCCCCTAATTTTCTGGAAGGAAATTCCTTCGGTATGCTCCGATTAAATAAATAAATACTGCAGTGAGCCTTGATGATCGGTGTTGGTGGGGGTGTGCCTGCGTTGAATGGCACAGGGTCTCCTGCTTCAGCAGGGGGGTGGACTAGATGACTTTCAGGCGCCCGTTGAATATTATTCTGTTATTCCGAACACTCACCTGGGCAGAGAAGTCGATCAGCTTGGGGAAGGGCTGTTCCTTGCCTTCTTCACTTTTTAAGAAATCCAGCAAACTGCCTGGGGAGAAAGAGGAGATCCTGTTAAGGCAAGGAGAACATTTCTGGGACCCCCTTCACCCCGCAAAAAAATTTCTCTTTTCGAGGAGTCTAAGCTTACTGGGGCTGTCAGAAAAGGTTCCCAGGAATGAGTGTCTGTTGAGGTAATTCCCCATTAGGAGAATGAGCGCGTACAGGGAGATGTATTTGAGAGTAGCGTTGGAATAATACACATACAGCACACAGATACACTGTACAGTAAATGTAGGTTTTTACTTCCAGAAACGTTAAGCAAAGTCCAGACAAGCAATCCAAAGTCATTCACAGGTAAATCAGTCAGTTTTTCAATCCAGGGGTAATCCAGTAATAAAGTCCAGTGTCAAAAACAGTTCAGTAACAGACTTACTTCAAATCCAGGAATATCAGTCAATTAGGAAAAATGGAGGAACGGCAATACTCTCCAACAGAAGGAAACAGAAACCCACTCACACGCTCTTCTGAGACAAAGACTAAGACCAACCAGGTTTCTGGTTCCATCTTATGGCCGTTTGAGAAACCACACCTAATTACAGTTTTGCATTTTCTTAAAGATACAGTTTTAAAATGTTTATCCTGGTTTATATATTTCTAACCCAAATACCTGTTAGGTGACTTACATTCCTAACAGTGTCCAACTTGGAAATAGTGGAAGTGTCTGTCTCTTTTTCCCTGCTTTCCACAAGGAAAGCTGCTAAACAACTAATTCCCACAATGCTGTTGAACTATTTACTAAGGCTGTATTACTATTCTTCTTCTCATCTTTCCTACTACCTATCTTCTTATCTTCTTATGACTATAACTTTATACTGTTTTATTTAGTATCTTCGTATGATTTATATTTATATTTATATATTTATATTGATTGCTTATTGAGTAATCTATGGCTATCACTAAGTGTTGATTCATGATGAATGTGTTTATGATGATCATGATTTATCACTTATATCTTTTATGTACGGTGAGAGCTTCCGCACTGGAGACAAATTCCTTGTGTGGCCAGTCACACCTGGCCATTAAAAAATATCTGTTCTATTCTATATTCTGTTCTGTTATTCTATTCTATTGTGTTATTCTATTCGATTATGCTATTCTATTCTATTGTATTCTGTTCTATATTTATTTTAGTTTACTTTATTGTCATTGCACCTCGTACAACGAAATTAAATGCCATCTTTAGGAAATCTATTCTGTTATTCTATATTCTATTCTATTCTATTCTATTCTATTCTATTCTATTCTATATTCTGTTCTGTTATTCTATTCTATTATGCTGTTCTATTCTATTTTAATCTATATTCTTTAGTTTACTTTATTGTCATTGCACTACAATGAAATTAAATGCCATCTTCAGGAAATCTATTATTCTATATTCTATTCTATTCTATTCTATCCTATCCTATCCTATCCTATCCTATCCTATTCTATTCTATATTCTGTTCTGTTCTTCTATTCTGTTATGCTATTCTATTCTATATTCTTTAGTTTACTTTATTGTCATTGCACTACAGTGAAATTAAATGCCATCTTCAGGAAATCTATTATTCTATTCTATTCTATTCTATTCTATTCTATTCTATTCTATTCTATTCTGCTCCCTTCCCTTCCCTTTCAATTCTAATTCTAATTCTATTCTACAAGTAGTCCTCAAGTTACAACCATTCATATAGTGACCATTCAAAGTTAGGTCATGATGAGGAATGCTGGCTCTCACCTTTCTCCATGAATTCGGTGATGATGAAAATGGGTTCTTCCTTGGTTACCACCGCGTGGAGTCTGACCAGCTTGTCATGCTGCAGGGTCTTCATGATGTTGGCCTCTTCCAGGAAGGCCTTCACCGTCATGCTGCCTGGCTTCATGGTCTTCACAGCCACTTTGGTGTGGGCGTTATAGGTGGCTGTGGAAGAGGGAAAGCCATGTTTTAGAATACGTGTAGGGAACAAGGGCCCCTTCATGACTTCTGGACTTCATCTCCCAGAATTCCTGAGGCAGGCATGCCGGCTATGGCCCCTTTAACACTTACGGAAGTCCATAAGTCATAAAGGGGCCATGGCCGACATGGCTGCCTCAGGAATTCTGGGAGTTGAAGTCCACAACTCCCAGAATTCCTGAACCAGCCATGTGTAGAGTTGTAATTGCAGGAATGTTCCAATCTCGGGTGGCAAACCTCAGATAAAGAATGTTTCCAAGCAAATACAACTCAGGCAAACAAAGTCACTAATCTAAAGGAGGATTAGAGAGAGGAAGTCAACATAGGTGAGACTTTAACTAGAGATCATTAATTGTATGGATTCCTGTGCTAAACAGTAACGAAAGTTAAGCAGTAACCAAAGTTAACCAGTGATGGAGGATAACTAAAAATGTGTATAAATGCAAGACTAGACTCCAATAAAGTTCATCATGATTCGGTTGTTCACGATCAAACAACTCGACTGCCTCGTCAACACAACAGCCATGCTGCCACGCTGGCTCAGGAATTCTGGGAGTGGAAGTCCACAAGTCATAAAGGGTCCATAGTTCCCCACCTCTGGTTTTTGAAGGACAGATTTGCAATCTGGTCTTAACCTGACCCTAGAGCAGAACGAGAGGGTGAATAACCAAGCTCAGAGAGTACCAAGAACCCCACAGTTCTCTTCCTCCTCCTCCTCCTCCTCCTCCTCTTCCCCCTCTTCCTCCCTCCTCCTCTTCATGAAATATCTACAAGAAAATCACCAAGCTCAGAGACATCAAGGACTGTCCTTGGTCTTCCATTTGAAATGGGTAGCCATGTAACTTGAATTGATTGATTGATTGATTGATTGAATGAGTGAAGGAATGAGTGAATGAATGAGAAAGATCTCCCCTGGGAATGATACTGGGGGTTTTAAGCGGGTAGCCTTTGCAATCCAAAAGGAGACATTCAAAAATCAAAATGGCCTAGCCGAGAAGGTGGGCCTTCAATGACCTTACCCATCCAGACTTCTCCAAACTGTCCGGCCCCCAACTTCCTCTCCATTTTTAGGGAGCTCCTGGGGATTTCCCAGGCATCCTTCTCCCAGGGTTTTTCGGGCTTGGGCAACACGCAGGGGTGAGTCAGCTTCTGACATAATCCATCGGCTTTTCCTGGAAGAGAGGAGATTGCAGGACCGGGGATGACATTTTTCTAGACTTGTGTTTCTCAACCTTGGCCCCTTTAAGATGGGTGGACTTCAACTCCCAGAATCCCCCAGTCAGTGAATCTTAAAATCCACCCACATGAAAATGTATTCACATGCTGGGAGTTGACATTCACTGGGAGATAGCCAAGTCAAAGGGCATGCCCAGAAATGAGAGAGAGATATATAGAAAGAGAGAGAGAAAGAGAGAGGAAGGGATGGAGAGAGAGAGAGAGAGAAAGAAGGGAGAGAAAGGGTAAAGAGGAAAACACAGAAAGTGAGACAGAAAGAGAGAAGAACAGAGGAAGAGCGAGAGGCACAGAGAGGGAGAAAATGGGAGAGAGAAAAAAAGAGAAAAGAGAGCGAGGGAGTGAGGGAGAGGAGAGAGAGAAAAAGATAAAAAGCAGACAGAAAATGAAAGAAAGAGAGAGGAACTAGAGAAAGAGAGAGAGAAAAAGAGAGTAAGAGAAAGAATGAGAGACACACAGGAGAGAAAGTGGGAGAGGAAAAAAAAGGAAAGAGAGCGAGGGAGAGAGAGAGAGAGGAGGGAGAAAAAGAGAAAAGAGAAAAACAGAGAGAAAGTGACACAGAGAGAAAGAGAGAGGAACAGAGAGAGAGGAAAAGAGAAAGAGAAAGAGAGGAACAAAGAAAGAACAAGAGACACACAGGAGAGAAAGTGGGAGAGAAAAAAAGAGAAAAGAGAGCGAAGGAGAGAGAGAGAGAAAAACAAAAACAAAAGAGAGAACGAGATTTGCCTTGTCACTTTTACACCCCAAGAAACGAGGCAGGCTCATTTCTCAGGTGTTGACCCTTTCCTGCCGTGAGCTCAGCAGCCTCTTATCTCAGGGGGTCTCCAAACTTGGCCATTTAAAGACTTGTAGAACAATTCCCAGAATTCCTCAGCCAGCATGCTAATAAACTTTAAGATGGGGTGGGGGGGAGGACTTTAAGATGCGCTGGCTAGGGAATTCTGGGAGTTGAAGTCTACCCACCTTAAAGTTTACTCGCATTGTGGCTGGGGAATTCTGGGAATTGAAGTCCGCCAGTCTTAAAGTGGCCCATTCTGGAGACCCCTGTCTTATCCAATCGCTGCCTGGTCTGCAGCTCTTCCTCCTGTCTCCCAAGGCCATTCCGACACACGCTTGCAAAGAGGCCGTATTGCTCTCTTCCGACCCCAGTTCCTCCTCGGTCAAAAAGGGTTGATTTTTAAACTCTAGAGCCAACAGTGTCAGGGTTCCAACGGATGCTCTAATTATTTCATGAGCCTCCAGCCAAGTTTCAAAAAAAAAAAATCCAATTATTTATTAGGAGCAACATGTCGGCATTTTCCCCAAGTGCAGTCGGCTCTGTCCTACACAATTTACGGCCCACCCACGACCCTGTTTCCCGTTTCCTCCCAGGGTGTGTCATAAATCACATTCTCCAACAAAGCACTTTTGCAGGCGGTAGAAAACACGCCTCTCCGGCTGGCTCTAGTAACCTGGTGTGCTTCTGGTCATAGCAACCGAGCTGCTCCATCAGTTCTCCTTGCTCCTGCCTATGGCAACTCAAGACCAGGCCAGGAATGCTTTACGAGTTGACAAATGGATTGACATACACATGTTCCCTCCGCCCCTCATGTAGAAAATGTCTCAGTGGCTGCCAGATTTGCAGGCTCACCTTTGTAATGGCTGACCAGTTCCTGCAGAGTGCTGAAGTTGGTCCGGGTAGAGATATAGAAGCCCCCGTCGTCCAGGGTTCGAATCTTGTAGTGTTTCACCACGTCCATTTTGTTTTGGGAATCAAAGTCTCGGACGGAGAGGGAGTAACTCCCTGGAACCAGGACAGAGAGAAAGAGAAACGAGACGCGAGGTCAATTATTTTTATCTACCTCTCAAAAGGGAAGTACCCTGTGGACAGAAACAAAGTGTCACTCCTTCCAACATTTATGCGCCCTGATTCAATAAGCACAGCCCTGCGACTTTGAAATGACACGGGTCAGTGATGGCAAACCTTTCTGTTGTGGTGTGCTGAAAGTGCGTGTGCCAACACCCACAATGCAATGCGCCCCAGCCCCCCTGCGCATGCGCCATCCCCAGCCCCTTACCTGCACTGTGCATGCACGTGCCTCCCAGACAATTTTGGGGCCATTTGAGGCCGTTTTCACCCTCCCAGAGTCTCAAGGGAAGCCTCTGAAGCCTTGGGAGGCTGAAAAACAGGCCTTCTGGAAATACTGGAAGTGCCCATTTTCAGCCTCTGGAGCCTGGGGGAGGCCATTTTTGCTCTCCTGGAGGCTCAAGGGAAGCCTCTGCAGCCTCAGGAGGCCGAAAAACGGGCCTGTTTTGCCAGTTCCGGTATTTCCAGAAGGCCTGTTTTTCGGCCTCCTGAAGCTGCAGAGGCTTCCCTTGAGCCTCTAAGAGGCCGAAAATGGCATCAAACAGGCCAAAAATCATCTGGGAGGTGCACTTATGAGCAGTGCAGGTAAGTTTGGCTAGGTCTCGCCTGCCCACACAAATGGCTCTGTGTGCCACCTGTGACACGCGTGCCATAGGTTCGCCATCACGGGCATAGGTTCTCCTGCTTGAGCTGGGGGCTGGACTAGAAGACCTCCAAGGTCCCTTCCATCTCATTCTATTCCTATGACCACAACTGAGCCCAAAATGTTGGTTGCTAAACGAGACAAGTTGTTGAGTGAGTTTTGCCCCCGTTTTACGACCTTCCTTGCCACAGTTGTTAAGTGAGCCACTGCTGCAGGTGTTCAGTGAGTAACCTGGTTATTCAGTGAATCTGAGTTCCTCGTTGATTTGGCTTGTCAGAAGGTCTTAAAACAGGATCAGACATGTTTTTAAACGGGACCCCCTGCGATCATCATAAAACATGAGCCAGTTGCTAACAGTCCACATTTTGATCATGTGGTGATGCCCCAATGGCCATTAAGTGAGGAAAACAATCGTCAGTCACTTTATTCAACGCTGTTGAAACTTTAAACAGGCACTGAATGAACTGTTGTAAGTCAAGGACTATCTGTACAGCTGAAAGACACCAGGCAGGAACAGCTGGATCTGAATCGTAGATCTCTCTTGCATAAGAGAGTGGATCTATATCCACCCTCCACTGCCTTGGAAAAGAGATCTATCAATCAATCAGAATAGACTATCAATGGTTAGAGCAGGGGCCTTCAAACCTGACAGCTTTAAGACTTGTGGACTTCAACTCCCAGAATTCCTCCTCCAGCCATGTTAGCTCAGGGATTCTGGGAGTTGAAGTCCACAAGTCTTAAAGTTGCCAAGTTTGAAGATTGTAATATTGTATATTGTACAATATGTAATATATATTGTAATACTAATACTAATAATAATTTGCCCTGCATAGGAGAACAGAACTGGAAAGCAGGTCAGTGGGGTGGGGAGGGAATGGGGATTTTGCAATATCCTTCCCCTGCCACGCCTACCAAGCCACGCCCACAGAGCCAGTAGTAAAAATAACTGAATCCCACCACTGCTTTAATCATCTACCTTTGCTTGTTTCACTGTCTCGGATCATGAACGAGCCAATAAAATTTCCTGGAGCCAATAAGTAACGCTCAGCATCCTTCCGGCTCATGCCTGTCAGGAACCACCTAAGGTGAACAAGGAAGGAACAATTAGCACCAAATCTTGCATAAAATTCTTTCTCAAACACTGCCTCCCCAAGTTTTCCTCCTGGCAGGAAACAAAAAAAATCATTGGAAAAACTTTTAAAAGCATGCTCTATGTCCATGATGGCAAACCTATGGCTTGCATGCCACAGGTGGCACACAGAGACATTTGTGCCAGCATGTGAGCTGCAGGCAAACTTACCTCACTGCGCATGCGTGCACCTCACAGCTGATTTTCAGCTGGTTTGAGGCCTTTTTCGGCCTCCCAGAGGCTTGAGGAAGGCTTCTGCAGGCTTCTGCAGGTTTTGCAGGCTGCAAACTAGGCCCATTTCGTCACTTCCTGTTTTTCCGAAAATACCAGAAGTGATGAAACGGGCCTAGTTTTCGGCCTGCAAAGGCTGCAGAAGCCTTCCTCGAGCCTCTGGGAGGCTGAAAAAGGCCTCAAACCAGCCGAAAATCAGCTGTGAGGCGCAGTGCAGGTAAGGGGGCGGCAGGGGTAGGTGGGTAGGTGGGGATTGCGTGCGCAGGCATAGGGGGCAAGTGGGGGCACGCATTGCCTTCTGGGTGCTGGCACGCGAGCGCGAGCGTGCAAGCATGCGCACAATTTTTGGCACAGGAGCACGAAAAGGTTAGGCAACATTGCACTGTGTCAACTCATAAAATATTTCTTTGGTCTTTTTAGAGTGGCCAACAGAAAGGGAGGGGGAGCAACATGGCAGCTTGCAAACTGAAAGTGCATTCCATAAATGTTTTCAAAGATAGTAACTAGGTGACTGAAGTTTCTGCCGTGCAAAATTCTAACTGCAGAGCATGATGGATGACTCTTGGCTACGGAGGTAGCCCATTGGAGAATATGAAGTATGATACACCCAGGGGGGAAAACCAGGGTCAAGGGTGACTGTGAATTATGTGTCTCAGAGTCGGCTACACCCAGGCAGTGCCGGACAGTTTAATTTCCCAAAAATCCTTTTGAAGTTTTGGAAGTTTCGCTCGAGACTCGTGATTTAAATGGGGGTCACTGCCGGAATCCTGACACTCTACATATCGTCGTCAACGTATGACCACAATTGAGCCCAACCTTTCTGTTGCTAAGCGAGACAGTCATTGAGTGAATTGTGTCCCCTTTTTCGACCTTTCATTCGTTAACTGAATCACTGCAGTCATTAAGTGAGTAAGAGGGTTGTTAAGTGGCTTCCCACATGGACTCATCTTGCCAAAAGGTTACAAAAAGGGGATCACACGACACCCCTGCGGACATTGCAACCGTCATAAATGTGAGTCAGTTGCCAAGCATTTGAATTTGGATCACGTGACCAACCACGAAGATGCTGCAACTGACACAAGTGTGAAAAATGGTCATAAGTCATTTTTTTCCCCACTTTGCCGTTATAACTTTAAAACGGTGACGAAAATGAATGGTCGTAAATCGAGAACTACCTGTATTGTAATAAACGAGCGATGGAGACTGGAGGCTACGAAGCTGCTTATGTGAGGGTTGCATTCTTACAATTAAAAGAAGACAGTCAGGGGGAAGAAACTTCTCTTTATTAGAAATCAAGAGAAGATATGACCCAAAGATCCTTTTTTTTCAAGAGGCAACTGGACTTTCTGTTTCTTTCTTTTGAAGAGGTTTTGCTCCTCATCCCAGAAGCTTCTTCAGCTCTGACTGGATGGTGGGAAAGGGAAAGATTTATGCTCCTTGCAGATAGCTGGTCATTTGCATCCTTTTAGAGGGTTGTTGAGGCCACTTGGAGGTTCATCTGCGTCCTAAGGGTCACCTGAATAGTGCAGATGGTTCCTGTAGTCTGCAATATTTTTCCCCCCTCTGGAAATCCGTTCCTACTCCCACACCATTCGAAGGGGGTTCAAACCTCCAAGTGGCCTCAACGACGCTCTAAAAGGATGCAAACGACCAGCTGTCTTGTAAGGAATACAAATCCTTCCCTTCCCGCCACCCATCCACTCAGAGCTGAGGAAGCTTTTTGGATGAGAAGAGGAACGTCCTCCAAAGAAAAAAAACAGAAAGTCCCATTGTCTCTTGAAAAAAAAGCGCCTTTGGGACAATCACGACCTGGAGGATGGAGATTCTCTACAGACTTTTAGCTATATAATTTGGGTGTCATCTTCTCCTGAGCTAAGGAGCCTCTCCCAAAAAGGACGAAAGCCGATGAATATTTAACACCGTGGATCTCTACAGTCCTGAGCTGAAATCAGGGGGGAGATCTAAAATCACGTGTTCACGTCTAAGATCACGTCTTCTTGGTAGAAGATCCCTCCCTTGGATAGGCCAAGAGTTGAGAACTTACTCTTCCGTCTCCAGGGAGTTGATCTTGGCCACATAATTGCTGGGGATGAAGCCCACTTTGCTGGTCGAAAGGGCCTTGGCTCGCCACCACTCTCCCGACCTGGAGAGGAAGGAGGGCAGAATTAGATACATTTCACAACTTATTATTTTCCTTAAGTGTCTTACAATGTGCTGTCCACCATATTCCTAAGTATTTAACTTTCTTTATCACTTGTATTCCCATAACTTCTTCTAGTTCTATCTTCTGTTTTTCTCTTAAATTTTTAGTCCTTAATTTTGTTTTCTTCCTATTAATTTTAAGTCCTGCTACTGCTCCAAATTGTTCTAATCCATTCATCAATTTGTGTCCTCTTTCTATTGGTTCCTCAATGAAACAAATCATATCATCCGCAAACGCTTGCAACTTATATTCTTCTTTCTTAACCTTTAATCCTTTCATGTCTGGGTTCTGTCTAATTCGTATTAGTAATGCTTCTAATGATAATATATGAAGAGCAGGGGTGAGAGTGGGCAGCCCTGTCTGACTCCTTTTTCTATTTTTATTGGGCAGGTATATTCCCCGTTTATTACAATATTAGCCTGTTGTGTATCATAAATGGTTGTTATAATATTTTCAAATTTGGTGCCTAAATTCATATTATAATTTTTTTGGATTAAAAATTGCCAATTTAAATTATCGAAGGCCTTCTCTGCATCTAAAAACATAAGTGCAATTTGTTTTTCAGGGTGGCCTTCATAAAATTCTAAGACATCTAGTACTACTCTTAAGTTGTTCCTGATTTGTCTGGTCGGGAGAAATCCATTTTGATCTTCATATATATGCTTATTTAACATTCTTTTTAGTCTGCTTGCTATAATAGAAGTGAATATTTTGTAATCACTATTTAATAGTGAAATTGGCCTATAATTATGTATATATCTGGGATCCGAATCCTCCTTCGGGATCAGCGAAATCAATGAGTCCGGCATCCTGGCTGCCAATAAGACATCATTAAAAATTTCCACCATAAGAGGTCCTATTTGTTCTGCTATTTCCTTGTACAGCTCCCCTGGAATCCCATCTGGTCCCGGGGATTTATTGTTTTTCTGGTTCTCTATTGCTGATTTCAATTCAAACCAAGTAATGTCTTTGTTTAATAATTCTTCCATTTCTTCCCCAATTGCTTTATCCTTCACTTCATCTAAATAGTTTCTTATTCTATCTTCGTTAACTTCTTTCTTTTTATATAACTCTTCAAAATACTTATGGGCAATTACTTTTTTCTGTTCTATCTCCTGTTGTATATCCCCCTTTCCATCTATTAGCTGGTATATCAATCTCTTTTCTTTCCTTTTTTTTAGTCTATATGATAGCCATCTCCCTGGCTTATTAGCAGGCTCAAAATAAGTTTGTCTAGTTGTATTCAAATTTATAATCATTCTCTCTTGTTCAATTAAATTCAGTTTACGTTTAGTTATTATTATCTGATTTTGCAATTTTGAATCCTTTGGGGGTACTCTGTAATTGAGTTTCTAATTCCTTAATTTTTTGTTGTAATTTGTTTTGCTGGGCGTATTTTTCCTTATTCCTCTTGGCGTTATAAGATATTGTTATACCTCTTATTACTGCCTTCATTGTATCCCAAATGTTTTGTTTCGTTCTTTCCTTTAAGAAATAATTTAATTCCTCCTTGAGTTTGTTGGTGTATTCTTTTTCTCTTATTAACTGAGTATTTAACGTCCATCTTTTCTTGGGTTTTTCCCTACCCTTCCATATTATCTGAATTGGATTGTGATCTGCCTATTCATTAGGTAAAATTTCAGTCCCTTTTATCTCATTTGCTATTTCCCCATTCATCCATGCCATATCAATTCGTGTTCATATTGGATGAGGATTTGAATAGAATGTAATTTGTTTTTTCTCGGGATGTGATCTTCTCCATATATCAATCAAATTCAACTCCTTCATCATTTCTATACATATCTTGGGAAGCTCTATTTCCCCCCCTTTGTTCTTCCCCCCGTTACTGTGGTCTTTTTGATAATCAGCAATAGAATTAAAGTCTCCTATGATACAAATATTTCTTTTTTCCAATCCTACTATTTTTCCATAAAGATGCTTAAAAAACTCTTTTTGATCTCCGTCCGGGGCGTAGATTACGTTTTTCATCATTGTTTCTTGCAGCTTCATCATCGATTCCTGTAAAGTCAGCAAAATTGATTGGATGTTGGCATTCGAGATGTTAGCTTGTTTCTCCACTGGTAATGTTTCTTCTATGTTTTTTTGTGCCATGGGTGAAGCTGTTGCCGACATAGTTGTTAAAGGTCTGGGTGACCTTTCTTCCAGTTTTCAGAGCTGTAGTAGTTGTGGAAGTCATTTCTTGTAAGATTTGTTTCTGTTGTTGTACTATATTAATTATATTATCCCAAATTAACATTCAGTGATAGAATCTCTGTATTAGGATTGACCGGTATCTAATTACTTAATCTATCTATCTGCTGGATAGTTGTGCTCTTAACTGGTTACTGGAGTATAAGTACTTATATATAAAAATATTATCACTGTATTATTTTAAGTCCAAATTCTAAATCACATATTTAATTTTGTACGGTCTATGCTCAGCCTCTATACATAACTCATGTAAATACATATATATATATACATATATATATACATATACATATATATATGTATATGTATGTATGTATATATATAGAGAGAGAGATCTCCAAATCCAACTATATTTAAATATTATAAATAAATATGTGTATTTATCTAACCTTATTTTAAATATTCTTAAACACAAACAGTATTACATTCGTTCCCAAGTGGATTAATTGTGATCACACAATAAAATTATAATATTAATACATAAAATCCTATACTTATTAATTAAATAATACTTAATGTTCTTACTATTTTCCCTATATATCTAATCAAAGTATAACTATCACTATTATTAATAAATCAATTAAATCAATTAATTCAATTATTTAACAATCAATTACAACAATCAATTTTCCTTTCCCCAATATGCAAATTTATAATCATTATAAAGAGAGAGTAAAGAAGGAAGGATAGTTCATCATAGCGCCAGATGATGAGGGAAAAAGAAGAAAAAAAAATTGAGCAAATGTATACAGAAAAAAGGGAGTAAAAAGGGGGGGAAAGGGAATTTTGAAGTAAGTTTTTAGCTTTCCGTCTCTAAGTTTGAGAGCTTTCACTCCAAACGCACCGGAAGTGGGGAGGTAAAAAATGCTGAGTAGTGACTGCAATTACACGCTATCTCCACACATTCGGAAGCTTCCACTTTTACTTTTTGTCTTAGCGTTCCTAAGTTCAATTTTCCTGATTTTCTTCAGATAGAACCACCTCCTCAATTAGATCAGGATGCTCCCTAAAGGGCTGTTAAGTGGTTTATATCAGTTATATTGTTACGATGGCTTCAGGGTTTCTAAATATCGCCTGTGGCGCCACACTGTCTCTGTTCCGTCAGCTCCGATCTTCTTCCCGTCTCCGCTTTAATAAAGTCTCTCAGAATAAAAATCAAATGAGATAGTCCAAATCCTTCCAGGCACCTTCCAACCGCTAGTCACCCAACCTCGTAAACTTCCCTTTTTACTCATTATTGTCCTCTCTCTCTCTCTTCTGTCTGCCAAGCCCTTTCACTTTCACTTGCCTCGCATCCGCTTTTTGGCCGCTTTCTTTTAGGGCTCCGGACAGACACTTGTAACAGCCTTATAAAAGTCTATGGCATTCCAATCCTCCTCTCCGCCGTTAATTTTCTCTGCCACACTCTTCCCCAATGATCTCGCAAACTGTCACTCACTCGCTTCTTTACATCGGTGGCAGTCTGGACTTCGGAGCCGCCATTGATAGGAGGCTGTTTCTTGCTCGTTGGGCTCTGGAGGGTTCTTCTTCGCTGCAGGGGGGGGTTGCCTTCCCCACACTGCAACCCGAGTCTCCCCCACGCCGGCACGAATCTCTCCGCGACTTGTGCACCCTCAAAGGATCGCACCAACCGCAAAGAGAGATTAACTGAAACCACCGACCGGCTTCTGCACCTCTGTTCGTCCTTGCCTTGCCACCGGAAGTCCCCAGCCAGTGTGATTTAAGTGGGGTGGGAGAATACCCATTCCTAAGAGGTCTGTAAGGGGCGTGCATAAGTGCACCATCGTGCCTCCCGTCCCTGTCCTATTGTCCCCATGTATTCGTACCTATTTCCTGTATTCTTATGTTTATACTTATACCTATTATCCTGTAAGCGATTGACAACTCAAATAAATAAATAAAATAAAAAATAAAAGAAGGAAGAAAAGAAGGAAGGAAGAAGGAGAGAGAAGAATGGAGGGAGGAAAGGAGAGAATACGCATTCCTAAGAAGTCTGTAAAGGGGCGTGCATAAGTGCACTATCGTGCCTATCATCCCTGTCCTATTCTCTCCATTTATTCGTACCTATTTCCTGTATTCTTACTCATGTTTATACTTATACCTTGTAAGCAACTGACAAATCAAATAAATAAATAAAATAAAAAAGAAGGAACAAAGGAAGGAAGGAAGGAAGGAAGGAAGGAAGGAAGGAAGGAAGGAAGGAAGGAAGGAAGGAAGAAGGAGAACAAGGAAGGGGAAGGAAGGAAGGAAGGAAGGAAGGAAGGAAGGAAGGAAGGAAGGA